ATACTTGCACTCTGTATTTTCAATATATTTTTACTTTAGCACAATACTTCTTAAAAAGTAATTGCGTATTCTGAAAGCCCGTGGAGTTTTCTATTATCCTATATAATTAGGTTATAGTTCAGGTCTATTCATTACTAAGATAAATTTATTGTAATGAAGACACCCTCATGTCCAGATTCTCACAAATTTCATTTTCTCATTGTCATCAAAATTAGTCTTCAAACTTTTTCATCACTATAAAATTATCTTTTGAAAAGAGTAATTATATATTCTGATAGAGCTTGAAATTCTCTATCACCCTGCATATTTACTTATTTTCTTATATTCATTTATTGAAAAGAAAATGTGAGTACAATGAACACATTCTCGATCGACAGATGCCAAAAGCCTGTATTTTTCATTGCATTTTGAGTTCTCTTTTTGAATTTATTATTCCTATCTGACAAATTTTTATGGAAAAGCAATTATAGATTCTGATAGAGCGTAAAATTCTCTATCATTCCGTATATTTGTTAACTATTTTGCAGTCATCTACTAAAGAATAATTCGAGTATTACATCGACACGCTCTTTGACAAGCTCTAAAAAGAAGTAAATTTCTTCCCATCTTTCTCGCTTTTTGTTTGAAAAGTATACGATTATGGAGAATTTCAAGCTCTATCAGAATATATAATTGCTTGTGTAAAAAGTTATTCTTCTACTGATGGTTAAGTTGAAATTAAAAGCAGCGTTTTACTAAAAAAATTCAGTGTTATAGGTTTCTTCAGCTAATTACCGACATAATACTCAAATTGGTCTTCAGCATATTCAGCACATAAATGAAAGGCAAGATAACAGTATGTAGGATGACAGAGAATTTCAAGCTCTATCAGAATATATAATTACTCTTTTCAAAAGATAATTTTATAGTGATGAAAAAGTTTGAAGACTAATTTTGATGACAATAAGAAAATGAAATTTGTGGGAATCTGGACATGAGGGTGTCTTCATTACAATAAATTTATCTTAGTAATGAATAGACCTAAACTATAACCTAATTATATAGGATAATAGAAAACTCCACGGGCTTTCAGAATACGCAATTACTTTTTAAGAAGTATTGTGCTAAAGTAAAAATATATTGAAAATACAGAGTGCAAGTATTTTTTTCCGGAGGTATATATATTTCAGGGCTAGAAGAGCCCATGACTTTACAAAAATATAACATATACAACAACAAAGTTAATATGTACATCGGCCAAATCAAGGTTCTCATGTGCGTGAAATGAAGGAACTGGTGTTGATGGTGCAATCATTTGAAATGCTGTTGTCGGTTGATTGATCATTTTCATTTACAGCTATTGACATTACCAGTTATCATTGTGTTCCTCGTTAGGGTTTAGAACCTCAAAAAACGATTGTTTATGGATTTACTTTAAGGACTGATTTGTCCGGTTTCTTTTTTACAAGATAATCTTGAAGATTATCTAGCCTTTTAGAACCGACGACTGTTTCATATTGCAAATGGCTGTATCTGAAAAACAATCGTCCCAGAGTTTATGAAAACGGGTCGAAAAATCATGCATTCGTTTGCAAAAAGAAAAATGACATAAGATATTGACCTCGAAATCAAGTTCGGCCTTCTTTACATTATTATCTGCGGTGTCCAGCAAGATATTCCTTATATTCAAGAAATTTTTCTCTGTTGGTACCGTACATTGAAATGTCTATAGGACTCTTTCAAATTGCTTAGGGATAAAATTTGTTGGGTACTTGTTTAGCAATAATGCCATTCACATATGCGCTTCTTTTCGTTTGAAAGCACTATAACTCGAAGAATACCTATTGCTCTTACAAGAGCTCCAAACGAAATATTGTTTTTTATATGTTTTGCATTTATACTTGTGAAAGAGATGAAATATGGTTGATATGAAGGTTTATGGAACACTTCAGACATTAAGTTACCTCCTCTATTCTCTAGTTTTATGTCAAGGTACTCTGCAGTGTGTCCTATAGATTCAGAGAGTTCAATATTGATATCGAGTTTATTCCAAAAATCCACATGACCTTTCAATATATCTGCATGTACATTAGAAATAATAAACAGATCTTCAATGCATCTGTAATATATCGAACATGTCCTATTAGCCCATTTTGAAATTGGACGTTCTACAAAGAACATCTATGCGTTGGCTATTGTGAGGGTGGGTGATGAACCCATCGCACCTCTTATTTTCTTATAATATAACCGATCAAAATAGAAATAATTATTAGTCATCACAAATCTGGTAAGAGCTAAAATGATCTATTTTTTAATACGTAGGTGAAGTTAGCAGCCGATTCGAGTATTTCCAGCAGCGATTCGCTCAGGAACATGTTCCAAATGTTTCAATGGTGTTCAAAGTACAACTCGACGAGCTCTATTCAATGGTATAAACAGATTTTCCATAGCTCAAACTATGTGTCCAAAAAGTCCAATATAGTAAACCCCTCCCCACCCTAGAGAAAGTACTGAGTTCAGGGTACCCATGTACTGAGAAAGCCCTAGCAGGGTACCCAATATGGGTACTTCAAAAATTCTCAGTAATTATACTGATGTAGGTACTGCGTGTGGTTCCCATAAAAGTATGCTTACTGAACAAGTACTCGTATGGGTACTCGCATCTGTAATTTTACTGAGGAAAGCTATACAGGGTACCCTATATTTGTCGCGTTCTGCGTAGCGACTATTCATTCACCGTTTTCTTTTTCACACACGGCTCCATATAAACAACTGGGTAAGACATAAGAAATTAATCTATTTTCATACTAATTTTTTCTAGATTTTTTCTTGACTATTTCTTAGTCAAGAACATGCCGATCTTGATCGTAGATTAAGAGCAGACCACTCTGAAGGGGTCTGATGGATACCTGACCAACTGAAGTCGGGTCAGATCTCGGCATTGTACCTGCTAAGTTTTCGGAATTGAAAAAATTAAATTGAATAAAATCGAAAAAAAAATGTAGCAAATTGCTTTGGGAGAAACAAAAATTAAAAAAAGTTAAAAGTCAGGTTCGATCCTGAACATACTGAAATTTTTAAAACAGCGTACCTAGAAATACTATACAATAGAACCCAATTGAGTATCTGATCAGTACCTTCAAGTACCCAGTTACTACACATTTTGTAGCAGGGTACTTGTCAAAGTACCACTTAGGTATCTGAAAGTACTTCCAAGTACTTTGGTACCCAAAAGTTCCTGTGACATACTGGTAACAGGGTACTTTTTCGGGTACCCTTAACTCAGTACATTCTCTAGGGCAGTTTAGAAGCCCCCGGGGGCTTCTAAACTGTCCACCATCCAAAATTTTCGGAGGGGGCTTCTATTACGTCCTCAAATTTTTCAATAGTTTTAGATGAAAAATTTTGTGTATTTATAAGCAATAATTTGGAAAAAAATTATAATGATTTTACAGGAGCCTATAACATTATTATTTAAATTTAATAGAAAGAAACAGAAGTTTCTTTTTTCAAATTTGTTTTATTTTATTTCATATCGATATTTCGAAGAATAAATTTTCATTATCGGGATATAAAATGAAATTATTACAATAATAGAAAACTTTGCATGTAACAAAATAAGAACAAAGAGAAGAAAGAGAGAGACGTTTATGACGAATAGAAATGAATTATGAGTCAAACAGACTAGCCGGATTAAAAGTGAATTAAAAAATATGATTGGTGTTGCTTCGTCGAAACACCAATCATGTTGCTTAATTCAATTTGAATTAATTCTTCGTCGTGTAATGCGTACAAGGTCTTATAAACATCTCTATAAAATATAGAGAGATAAACAGCAGCTTTTATTTATCTCTTTCCATATTTTATAGATGTGTTTAGAATTCATTTCTGTTGGTTCTAAACATCTCTTTGTTCTTATTTAGTTCGATGTAAAATTTTCTATTTTCATAACAATTTCATTTTATATCTCGATAATGAATATTTATTCTTCGAAATATCGATATTACATAAAATTATGCAAAAATTTGAAAAAAGAAACTTCTGTTTCTTTCTATCAAATTTAAACAATAATGTCATATACTGGTGTAAAATCATTATTGTTATTATATGGAAAAAATTTTCAAAGAGCCTCAGGGATTTTTATGGTTTTAAGAGTGGTTGCAACGACTTTCTAGGAGATTTTAAATTTGTTATGCTAGTAAATAAGAAAACCAAACAAATTTTTATCGTAAGATCTTGAATTTTGAAAGTTTTACGATGAAAATACCATTAGAAATTTTGCAAAAAATTTTTTAAACTGGGGGGCTTCTAATACATCTTTCACGTTATAGCTTCTGGAGGGGGCTTCTAATAAGGGGGGGCTTGTAATACGGGAGGGGCTTCTATTATGGGGAGGGGTTTAGTACGTATGTGAAGTTAGTACCGGATTCGAGTAATTCCAGCAGCGATTCGCTCAGGAAGATGTTCCAAATGTTCCATTGCTTGTTCCAAGTAGAACTCGATGAGCTCTATCCATCGGTGTAATCAGATTTTTCATAGGCTTAATTATGGTCCCAAAAATCTCAAAATACTGGTTTTCTCTATGGAAACTCCAGCAGCAGATTCGAGTAATTCTGGTAGCGATTCGCCTAGCAACATGTTCCATATGTTGCAATGTTTGTACCGAGCACAACTCGACGAGCTCTGTTCAATGGTATGCTTAGATTTTCGTTAGCACTAAGTTTAATTTTTTATATATTCGCTAGCGACACGTATCGGTGAAAAATTAACCTTTTTGCTAACGAAACCTTGAACACACCATTGAATAGAGCTCGTTGAGTTGTACTTGGAACACCATTGAAACATTTGGAACATGTTCCTGGGCGAATCGCTGCTGGAAATACTCGAATCGGCTACTAACTTCACCTACGTTTTTTTAATACCATCGATTTGTTTTAAACCAGATGTGTCTATTAATCTTTTTATGGCTGTTATTCCACCTTCTTGTGGAGTCATTGTGTATAAATCAGTAACAGCCATTGTTATAAATGTTTGGCTGGTGTTATGTATTTAGGTGACCATCTTTCAACTTGTTTTATTAATTGAGCACCATTTAGAATGGTTGTCCCACAATCCAAATGATCAAATAGAGGCCTTAATAGTCCAACTAACCATTTTGATAATGCTATATTTGGAGACTTTAGACCTGCCATTATCGGTTTTAATGGTGTTCTTGGTTTGTGTGCTTTAGGTAAGAAATACAGATGGCCTAATTCAGCCTTTTCTTGTTTAACCTTTAGTTTTTCATATTGTTTTTGGGTGATATGTTTATTAGCCCATAATCCAAGAAGAAAAATATTTGCTCTTTTAACTAAAGATTCAAGTGGGTTTAATGTTCTCAATTCTTGATATGCTTTAGTTTTAGTCATATATGTTTGAGCTTTCACTTTATAATCATTCATTTTTCCTAGATGGAAAACTTTCGATTTATCAGTCTTTCTGATCGCTGTTTGTGTAGTTTCAAGCTTATTTTTTAAATTCTTAATTACCTTTAAATGATTTGATGAAGGGTGTCTATCATGACAATCCGTAAGAATTGACGAGAGCGATTCTGTAAAGATTTCAAACCGTTGTATAGATATTACCCATCCATGTTCACCAAAGATCTTACTTATCTTCTTAACAACCAATTTTATCTCGTCTTTCATACGTATATGAGCGAGATGAGGATTATTTTGTATATATTTAGGGTCTAGTTTAAGGAGGGCCTTCTCTCTCCTATTTAAATTCATATTTGATTGGTTTATTATGCTAGGAGCAGGAAATCCTTTCATAATACTGGATTGAGATCTGGTGCTTCCTGTATTACGAAGGGCGTCTCTTTGACACCACGTTCGACTAAAAAAAAGAACTTCATGGTCAGTTTCTAATGAAGATCTTTTTTGCACAATTTCAATATATTTTGTAAATGATTCTGAACATTTACTAGTGACCATACTAGTTTATCTTTGTCCAAGGGGACGCCGTTGTGTAAAAACTTCATCCTCATCATTATTATTTTCATCAAAAGGTTCTTCATCATTAACATTAGCAACAGCTTGTGTTAATGGTCCATTACCTTTATCTTGTGGAAACTCCTCAAGAAGTTTTTCTAATCTTTCATTTTGAAAGCAAATTCTTCTTTTGTTATTTTTAGATAAAGTTCCATTGTTTTTAGGTGAAGATCTCTTGTTAATTTCTCTATACTTTGTTTATTCTCCTCAACTTGTTCACTTGATAGTGAGTTTTCATCAAGTGGGAGATTAAACATATGTGATTTTGGCAAGATTTTCGGTGTTATATCATGTGTGATATGTGCAGCCACCAATTCATAGCTTTTCTTCTTCTTATGCTAACTTTTTATTACCGGTTTACAAAAGCTTTTGCCATATATTTTCTGTTGTTCAGGTCCAACATCTTCGAATGCCTTTATAGCATCGCATTCGTCTTTTTCAATAAAACCACGACGAATTCTATTAATGCTCATTTTTCACAAAACTTGTGTACTTTCTTTTATATAATCGAGTATAAGATTCTGCCCTCTCTTTTCAACTACAGTGGCTAATTGTATGTTTGAATTAGACGATAAAACTCTCATGAGGAGGGTGTGGGTAAGCAGATAAGTGACACTCACACAATCACGTCCACACTCACACCCACCACTACCCCTCATTCTCTCATCCTCCCATATGCTGACCCCCTCCATTCTCTCTT